CCTAAAGCTCTTTACACTATTCACTGTGTAGGCGTAGAAAAACGTTAAAAGTATCACATTTTTATTGCGCAAAGACCCCCACATTAACCGCACTAATCGAGGGATTCCTGTATATACATATGTAGCAATATATGTATATATAAATGGATATATGTGTGCAGTCTTACACACATATATGTATCAATTACACAAAAAACAATAGTGGGCAACATGTGTGTGTGGAGAAGGGATTTGATCTTGATGTTAAGACCTTGTGATATTATGTTAACTGTGATAACTGATTAGGAAGGTATTAATTGAAATTACATTTCCTCTTATATCTCCATGAATGCTAGTATAAGTGTGTTTCAGTTTTGACATTGAAATATTTGTCAGGTAGTGAATTTTCATGGAAAATATCGAAGAAGAGACGAGAGAAAAAAAAAGGACTCACACTGTCTGAGAGAAAACACAGTTTTACTCAGTGTTTCTCATAAAAAATAATGAAAAATATTTCAATTGGATCAAATTGAAATAGCCTAACATTAAAGGACAAAAAAGAGATCTTTGGTCTATTCAGGCCATTTCATCCAATAATTAGATTAAACACTAAAAAAACTCAAAGCCAGCCCTTATCATACAAATATATAACCCCCTTAAAGTAACTACGTTTACTACATCTGAAGGCAACCCATTTCAAAGGCCAACCTTCCTGTTTGAAAAATAAAGCTGTCTTAACTGAAGATAATTCTTACCCTACCAAAATTGATTTTGTGTCTCCTAGTCTTATCATTCACATCATTAAAAAAAGATGATGGATCAACATTATCAGTTGCCTTAATAATCTTAAACACTTCAATCAGAACCTCTCTAACTTTTCTATTTTCAAGAGGAAACAAGTTCAGAGATCAGTCTATCCTTGTATGAAAACCTTTAGATCCCAGGTATTATTCGAGTAGCTCTCCTCTGAACTCTTTCCAATAAATCAATAATTTTTTTGCATGTAGTAATGGTTGGAGACGGTTTGAATGGGTAATGAAGAAAAACTTTAATATAGGTTTAACATAACAGCAAATGTACAACGTTCTTGCCAATATATTCATGACCCAGATCGAAACACAAGCCATACATTTTGCGCTTCATCCCCCACTATACTGGTACAGATATGTCGATGACACTTTTTCTGGCTTCACTTGTACAGAACACACACTAACTTTCTTTAAACACGTGAATTCCATTCATCCCAACATCAAATTTACCATAGAACACGAAAACAATAAACAGTTATCTTTTCTTAGCCTCAACATTATTAGATCGGACACACAGTTTAAAACCAAAATTCACTGGAAGAACACACCGGCCTCTACATCCCCTGGAATTCCGCACATGACACCACACAAAAAATCAATACACTTAAAAACCTCATAAACACAGCCATAGACTCTGATCAACGGACTACATAAATGAAGAAATTAACCACATAAAGCATTCCTTTATTCACACCAATAAATTCCCACCAGCTATAGTTGCAAAACTCTCCAACATTCCCCACAATAAAACTCAACACACGAACAAAATTGACACTAACAAACCCAACAAAAGTACATTACACTGCAGTTTACCTTTTGTTCCTGAAACCAGCTCAAGAATTATCCACACTTGGACAAATCTAGCCATTAAACACAATATTCCTGTCAAATTCTCACAAAAACCCGGCCCTAAATTAAAATCGTTACTATACAAAAATTACTTAGAATCACACAATACCAACGTCATTTACAAAATAACATGCAATAACTGCCCAGACTTCTACATCGGAGAAACAGGAAGAAAATTGGTAACAAGATTGACAAGACACAATAAAAAACCGTCTCATGTTTTTCACCATTGCAACTAAAAAAAAAACATAGTATTCTATTAAAAACACAGTCATTTTAAACAAAGAACCCAACATAAACAAACGAAAAATCAAGGAATCCATTTTAATTGAATAAAACAACCCTACTCTAAACCAACACCCCGGGGTGCCTAGATACCTCTTCTAAGTTTTGAAACAGCTCCGGTCATGTGACTTCTTTGTTCAATACTGTATATATATATATATTTATATATATATATATCCGTGTCAGTGTAAATTACTTGTACCCATTCAAGCCGTCTCCAATCATTATTAGTCTCAAAGTGGGTTCCTCGTCATCGAATTTTTGCATGTAGATTGAAATATTTTAATTAGCACACAGTTTTAGTGAATATTTCCTTCACATTATTGTAGGACAATGTGCAATAATAATACTAATACAGTACATCAAAATTTTCGATAAAAATTAAGGATCGCATAAAATATCAGTAATCAGTTAATCTTTTTTGCTTGTAAAAATTTTATTTTCCCTCTCAAAAAATAAAAATAATGTATTTAAAAAAGGAGAAAATATTGAATCCTAGAGGGCGATAATGAGATTATAAAGAACTTCAAAATGGATGATAATGTTGAAATGCGCGAGAAGCTTATTCCAGTTGACGTTAACAGTCTTGATGTTACTTATTCAAAAAAGACTTACTGTAGCGGAAAAAAGAAATGTAGGTACTTAATTTTTGGCGTAATGTTTACAAGCGTTTTTGCATTAAGTTTGTTTTGGTATTTTTGTAGTAGTGAAAATTGTTCAGTCGGAGTAACATCAGTGAAATTACATTGGCCAAATATGACTTCTTTGAAAACTAAAATAAGCAATTATCGTTTGGGTTTCTCACCAGAATTTGCAGAGAGTGAATCTCTTATTCCATCAGAGATATTTGATCAAAATAATTCAGAAAAGCTAAATGGAATTGGGTTTACCATGGATAAAAAGAAACAGGTTCCTCAAAAACGTTTTGAATTCAACATTAAAGGGTCTGACGTCATAGTTTTCCTTCACATTCAAAATACGGGAGGAAATTTATTTGCACGACATCTAGTCGAAGATTTGGCTATTGAAAGCCCTTGTTTGTGCAAGAAAAAACGGAAAATGTGTAAATGTTTCAGACCAAATAAACGAAGCTCTTGGCTCTTTAGCCGCTATACCAATGGCTGGAAATGTGGTGTGCATCCTGATTGGACAGAACTAACCAGTTGCGTTGACAAAGTTATGGATGAAGAGGAAGGAAGACCTGTAAAAAGAAGGTACATATATTAACATATATGAGAAATATTGTTTTTTGGTTATGAATCATGTTGCATGAAACGTACACCACCTACAGACCATTAACTTAAGGCCTAGCGTGACTTTGTGATTAGAACACTTAATTCACAACTTGTAGGTCACAAGTTCGAATTCTATCACTGAATATGCTCACCATTTCAAGTGTGGAACCATTATTATGTTGTTGTCAGTACTATTTTTCATTGGTAAAAGAGCAGTCCTAGAATTGATGTTGCGTATTGCTAATTAGATGCCTTCTTTCTATTCTAATCCATCACTTCTAAATTAGGGATGGCTAGTGCAGATAGCCAATGAGTTGCTTTGCTCAAATTTTAACAAGCAAACAATTAACTTAATCAATCTTTAGCACTTATGACATAATCCACTTTTATACCATATACAAAGATTGAAATAATAATGCAGGGTAAGAGCGCTGAGGTTGATGTTGTATTTCTTGTCATTCAGAAAGCCTTTGATGAGGCAGGGCAGGAATAGTTTTTGTTTAAATGTATTCCACCCTCCTCCAATGCGGGCATTCTACACAATATGTAACATTTCTGTATTTATCTTGCATTTGCAAAAAAATGCTACTTAGCTCATTAAAATAATTTTATGATTCCATAACTGTAAGAATGTTGTTTTTTTTTAGTTTGAACATCCTGGCTTATCACACTCATCATGACTTTGGTATTTTCATGTCTTTTTCATCCTTAAGGGGTACTAACAAAACTTTGTGAGACACTTTTCAGCCAAATTCTATCAGAATGGAATTTTGTGCATAACATTTTCTGTTTTCTGAGCTTTAATATATTTTATTTCAAACCAATATTTTTAAGATCTTAGAAAATTGGAATCCAAATTTGCATAAATAAATATATATATATAAATTGCAAGTAATCAGAAAACGGGATTCTAGCCTGTGGCAGTGAGTTTCTACACATCATGTGAAGAATGTATAATAATATGTCAACCACACAACAGTATATTTGCTGTATTCAATGCTGATGAAGCCTTTTTGCCTAATACCAGGGCTCATTGGTCTTTGAATTTTCACAATTGAAAATGTAGTAGCAGTGTGTTCATCTTCTGATTATGAGCAGTTTTCTTAGCTTAATGACAAATAATTTTAGCATTCTGAGTTAGAATTGTTCCTGGGAATGGAGGATGATGTGGAAGAACATGTAAGTAGTCAAAACATCATATTTGTTAAGACAATGGTTGGTTATACTACTGGTTTAGTAGGTTTTAACATTACAGATTTCCTTTAATCGACTGCAGAGCCTTCTAGTGGTTGATTCAATATGTCTCTGGTTGCACCACGGGTATATGAACTGGTATACCACTAGCGAGGTATTTAATGGATGTGTTTTGTCTGTAAAGTTGAAGAGTTCATTTTGGTACATATTTTTCATTACAACACCTTGTTTTTTTTAACATTAAAAGGTGCCATATAACTTTGGCTCACCCGTTTGTCATGGAATCACTTTTAAATTCTATAATCTTACCTGTGTTATTTGGAATAACTTCCACTTTGTTGATGTAATTCATTGTGTTTAAAATCAGTCATACCTGTATCTGGTTTAGTCGGGGACATAACAAGTGCCCCTGCTAAATAGAGGCTTTGATGGGAAAACTTGCAGGAGGGTCTGCACATTCTTTATTATGTCTTTAGACTTAGTAATTACAGTGTCCTTACAATTTTTTAAAAACTTTTAAAGCCTGTGTTTTTTCCTTGCTTAAATTATTGTGCTTTTTTTCTAGACCAAAAATCTTATAACATCCTGAAAGCAAAACCAGTGACTTGAGTTTAAATCTATTCAATAGTTATGCACCCATTTTTCAAAATTTGTCACTTAGACAGTTGTTGTAAAAAGTTTCAAAGCCTACACAATCATACTCTTTAGTAATTTTCTTAGGGGGAATAGAAAATTATAACCCTCTGACTAAGACCCTTTTTCCATCATGATACAAATGAAATATTATGAGTAACATCATTTGGAGTTCCAACAATGTGTACCATTGTCTGTGTTTTTTAAGGACATTGATTCTATGCAACTGTTTATCATTAATCTCCATTAAAGCTTTATTATTACAGATGATAATTTAAACTTTCAAATGTCCTAGTTCTTTTTCAGTTGTTCTAGAACTTCTTCAAATTGTTTATTTTGAATTTTAATTTGACAAGCTTTATCTTTAATTTCCGAGTACAGAAATTTATGTTGAGATTGTTTTTATTCATTAGTGAAACATTATGTTTTGCTGGAAACCTTAAAACTGAAGGAATTTGAGGATAAGATGTTCATTTTTGTAAGTTAGAAGAAAATTTGCTTGTAACAAATTTTTGTGTAGTTAGAAATGAACTCTATATAGTTTATTAAATCTTTGTAAAATGTTCCTATCATATCTTTAAGGCCTTAAGAAAAATAGAAAGCCTACAAAACTTCAAAATAATTATTATGGTGTGAAGCATTAGTTCAGTTAATGTGGAAAATGTGTGAGGAGGTATGATAGAGTGCAACATTGGCAATGAAATATTCTAAAAAAATAGCATCCCAAATTTCCTTCAGTTTAGGTTTCTACTGATTGGTTAAAGCTATTTTCCTAATCCTGTTGCATTAAGTGATTAGAGAAAACTGCCTGTCTTAGACAAAAAAGCAACTTAAAGGCTGGGAAATAGAATTTTATGGTAAATTTGTATGATATGTGATGACATTGATAATCAGTATTATACATTTTATTATTGATCACTAAATTTTGGAAGCAATGCAATTGAATTAATAGAGAATTAATTGAAAAGAATGATAAAGACTGATCTCATATTTTTGTGGTCTGTGATAATTTCATAATTTAGATAATTGAAACTATTAATCACTTTTATTAATTCAGTTCTTAATATTAATGTTTGAGTTAGTATAATTTGAAATAAGCAAGAGTGACAGAACTTAGTGATAGAACTGTGCTATAATTAATGGTTATGCTGTGTCTAGTATTCAAGAATACTTCTTGTTAAACTTTTTAATAACATTGATATCCTAGTAAAGAACAGAATAGTGTCTCATCTTTCTTTAGTTTGTCCAAAATATACATTTCTGTCACATACATTTTGCTGAGAGTGATGATTTCTAAATTTGAAATAAGCTCAATTGAAGACATCTTTTTCATGTGAGATTATCTTCATATTAATATAGATATATGCTAGTCACTTAAATTTTTTGCTAGTTGGTCTGTAAATTAAATTTCTAATTAATGATGAAAGTCTTCCGGATATATCCAGAAATCCGGATATTTCTAAAAAATCCTGAAAACCTCTGGTTTTCTTCCTGAGAAACACATTTTTTAAAATTATTTATTCGGATTTTGGTGTTCCATGCCATAGATAAGCGTTTATGCAATCGCGCGGTTTGTTTACATTCGGCGACAGGGCACCACCATTTTGTAGTCTCGCAATGCTTGCTGGCGTGTACGAGACCTTGTATGCTTATAATGCAAACTTCATGTCATGTGAACGAGATTTTATCTCGAAAACGTGCTTTAGAAAACACGGTCATTCTTTTGTGTACCTTTCTATTGAGCGAGACAATTGAAGAGCCTTATCTATTCAAAGGTGTTTACCGAAGCGATAATAGATCAAATGAAATGTACAAACAAGTAGACAGGTCGGCAGA